CGGAATATCCACTTAGAAATGCTTTTAAGAATTTGTCTTCCATCTTTCTACTTGACGTAGCCACAACTCACCCAGGAACTGTTTGGTTTTTAAATGATGACTCAGATACCTGTCTCGGTCTTAACAGTATCCACACCAGTGTGGATCCACGTATCCACACCAGTGTGGATCCACGTATCCACACCAGTGTGGATCCACTTATCCACACCAGTGTGGATTCACGTATCCACACCAGTGTGGATCCACGTATCCACACCAGTAGGGATCCACTTATCCACACCAGTGTGGATCCACGTATCCACACCAGTGTGGATCCACTTATCCACACCAGTGTGGATCCACGTATCCACACCAGTGTGGATCCACTTATCCACACCAGTGTGGATTCACGTATCCACACCAGTGTGGAGTCACGTATCCACAGCTAAACACGCTTCACTTCAGTGCATTAACATGCATGAGGTGTATACACGTGTGGTACACATGTGTGACAGACACTTGTAGTACACACACACACACACACACACACACACACACAACTGGCACACGAGCAACGCTAACACTGTCCCATGCTGCAACACTGACAATCCCGTGCTGCAACAGTAACACTGTCCCATGCTGCAACACTGACACCCTCCCATGCTGCAACACTATCACTCTTTCATGCTACAACACTGACTCTCCCATGCTGAAATACTGAGACTGCCCCGTACTGCAACGCTGACACTCTCCCATGCAGCAACACTGTCACTCTTTCATACTGCAACACTGCCACTCCTATGCAGCAACACTACCACTCACCCATGCAGCAACACTACCACTCTCCCACGCAGCAACACTACCACTCTCCCATGCAGTAACACTACCACTCTCCCATGCAGTAACACTACCACTCTCCCATGCAGTAACACTACCACTCTCCCATGCAGTAACACTACCACTCACCCATGCAGCAACACTACCACTCTCCCATGCAGCAACACTACCACTCTCCCATGCAGTAACACTACCACTCACCCATGCAGCAACACTACCACTCTCCCATGCAGCAACATACCACTCTCCCATGCAGCAACACTACCACCTCCCATGCAGCAACACTACCACTCTCCCATGCAGCAACACTACCACTCTCCCATGCAGCAACACTACCACTCACCCATGCAGCAACACTACCACTCACCCATGCAGCAACACTACCACTCTCCCATGCAACAACACTACCACTCACCCATGCAGCAACACTACCACTCTCCCTCCATGCAGCAACACTACCACTCACCCATGCAGCAACACTACCACTCTCCCATGCAGCAACACTACCACTCTCCCATGCAGCAACACTACCACTCACCCATGGCAACAACACTACCACTCTCCCATGCAGCAACACATACCACTCATCCCATGCAGCAACACTACCACTCACCCATGCAGCAACACTACCACTCACCCATGCAGCAACACTACCACTCACCCATGCAGCAACACTACCACTCACCCATGCAGCAACACTACCACTCACCCATGCAGCAACACTACCACCTCCCATGCAGTAACACTTACCACTCTCCCATGCAGCAACACTACCACTCTCCCCATGCAGCAACACTACCACTCAGCCATGCAGCAACACTACCACTCTCCCATGCAGCAACACTACCACTCTCCCATGCAGCAACACTACCACTCTCCCATGCAGCAACACTACCATCTCCCATGCAGCAACACTACCACTCACCCATGCAGCAACACTACCACTCTCCCATGCAGCAACACTACCACTCTCCCATGCAGCAACACTACCACTCTCCCCATGCAGCAACACTACCACTCTCCCATGCAGCAACACTACCACTCTCCCATGCAGCAACACTGCCACTCTCCCATGCAGCAACACTTACCACTCTCCCATGCAGCAACACTACCACTCTCCCATGCAGCAACACTACCACTCTCCCATGCAGCAACACTGCCACTCTCCCATGCAGCAACACTACCACTCTCCCATGCAGCAACACTACCACTCTCCCATGCAGCAACACTGCCACTCTCCCATGCAGCAACACACCTACCCTACTCTCTCCATGCAGCAACACTACCACTCTCCCATGCAGCAACACTACCACTCTCCCATGCAGCAACACTGCCACTCTCCCATGCAGCAACACTACCACTCTCCCATGCAGCAACACTACCACTCTCCCATGCAGCAACACTTACCACTCTCCCATGCAGCAACACTACCCTCTCCCATGCAGCAACACTGCCACTCTCCCATGCAGCAACACTAACCCACTCTCCCATGCAGCAACACTACCACTCTCCCATGCAGCAACACTACCACTCACCCATGCAGCAACACTACCTCTCCCATGCAGCAACACTGCCATCTCCCATGCAGCAACACTACCACTCTCCCATGCAGCAACACTACCACTCTCCCATGCAGCAACACTACCACTCTCCCATGCAGCAACACTACCACTACTCCCATGCAGCAACACTACCACTCTCCCATGCAGCAACACTACCACTCTCCCATGCAGCAACACTACCACTCTCCCATGCAGCAACACTACCACTCACCCATGCAGCAACACTACCCACTCTCCCATGCAGCAACACTACCACTCTCCCATGCAGCAACACTACCACTCTCCCATGCAGCAACACTACCACTCCTCCCATGCAGCAACACTACCCTCTCCATGCAGCAACACTACCACTCTCCCATGCAGCAACACTACCACTCTCCCATGCAGCAACACTACCACTCTCCCATGCAGCAACACTACCACTCTCCCATGCAGCAACACTACCACTCTCCCATGCAGCAACACTACCACTCTCCCATGCAGCAACACTGCCACTCTCCCATGCAGCAACACTACCACTCTCCCATGCAGCAACACTACCACTCTCCCATGCAGCAACACTACCACTCTCCCATGCAGCAACACTACCACTCTCCCATGCAGCAACACTACCACTCTCCCCATGCAGCAACACTACCACTCTCCCATGCAGCAACACTACCACCTCTCCCATGCAGCAACACTACCACTCACCCATGCAGCAACACTACCATCTCCCATGCAGCAACACTACCACTCTCCCATGCAGCAACACTACCACTCTCCCATGCAGCAACACTACCACTCTCCCATGCAGCAACACTACCACTCTCCCATGCAGCAACACTACCACTCTCCCATGCAGCAACACTACCACTCTCCATGCAGCAACACTACCACTCTCCCATGCAGCAACACTGCCATCTCTCCCATGCAGCAAACCACTACACTCTCCCATGCAGCAACACTACCACTCTCCCATGCAGCAACACTACCACTCTCCCATGCAGCAACACTACCACTCTCCCATGCAGCAACACTACCACTCACCCATGCAGCAACACTACCACTCTCCCATGCAGCAACACTACCACTCTCCCATGCAGCAACACTACCACTCACCCATGCAGCAACACTACCACTCTCCCATGCAGCAACACTACCACTCTCCCATGCAGCAACACTGCCTGGGCGCTGTCAGGCCATAGACGAGTTTTTTCCACAAAATATCAACAAGGACTGTAGATGCCCTAATAAGAGAGTATCTGGCTGATGAGAGAAAAGAATCCACTGGATCAGTGAGAGTGGTCAACGCCGTGTTAGGTTCGAACCTTCCGGGCATACCTTCAACGCTACTTCAACGCCCAGCTATTACTCGGAGATACGCCAGTTCTTGCTATTGTTGATATCGTTGTTTAAAAAAATTAGATAACCGGGATGCGTTGATTTTTTTTTTTTATTCTTTCCGTGACTTGGATTGCGATGAGTTTTGATCGTATTGGATTATGACAGCACTATCAGATGGGATTGTGATAATGCTGGCATAATCTATGATCACATGGGAGTATCACAGCTTCGCTGGAATTGTGATTGCATCGTTGATCACATGAGATTAGTATCGCTGGTGTTCACATGAGATTAGCATCACTAGTGGTCACATGAGATCGAGACAGCCTCGGATATAATCGGATATAATTTTCTCACATGGTGTGCGTGTGCAGTACGTTCAATTCATGTTTTGCACATGTTATGACAGTCGGTGAGGGGTTGAATTCTACTGGATAACACCTGTATAACCCCAGGATAACCATTCTCACTAGACTACGAGGAAAATTCTCATTTCGCATATACCACACGAATTGCCATCTCAAGACGTCGAACATATTTACACAACTCTTCACATGAACACACAGCTCACTAGTCACATGAGCACAGGCAGAGAGACGTGTCACATACTGTGTGGAACTGTCGGTATATTTGGTAACACAGCGCTGGGGACTCGTGCGAGGGGCATGCGAGGCTTTAGCTATGCTGGTTGGTTGCTGGTATAGGTTAAAAGCATTTCTTGGGGGTTGTAAGTCACCTGTGCACCACCAGTCAAGGATACTTTAATTCTTAAAATGAGGATCGAAGTCAAGTTTGTGTGTATATATGCTGGGAGATGCACATAACTGTGTATATACACTGGGAAATACACACCACTGTGTATATACACTGGGAAATACACACCGTGTATATACACTGGGAAATACACACCACTGTGTATATACACTGGGAAATACACACCACTGTATATACACTGGGAAATACACACCACTATGTATATACACTGAGAGATACACACCACTGTGTATATACACTGAGAGATACACACCACTGTGTATATACACTGGGAGATACACACCACTGTATATATACCAGTCAGTGAAGTAAGCACTAGAACACGCATGTCATTTCACAAAAGCCATCATGTCATATACTCGCGGAAGACTAGGTCTAGCCGCGCGTGTGTGGAGTGATGGTGTCAAGCGTGTGAACGCTTAAGTGATGGTGACGCGGTCGCGTGTGAACGTGAGGGGAAGTGATGGTGAGACCCCTGGCTGGTGAAGGTGTAGGAGAGGGTGAGGTGATGGTGAGACTCACCTTCTCTCCTCATGCCGACCTTGAAGCATTTCTTGAGCCTGCAGTACTGGCACTGGTTGCGGTGATGCTGGTCGATGGGGCAGTTACGGTTACCTCTACACGAGTACTGTAGATTCCGTCTCACTGACCGCTTGAAGAAGCTCTTGCATCCTGGGGAGGGATGGAGGAGGGCGCGGGTTATTAGTGTGGGCGTGTGGGCGTGCGGGCGGGAGTCTACAAGCTATGACGTCCCGGCCCCACCAGCGACATGCCTTATCTAAGCCTTTATATATATATATATGTGTGTATGTATCGCTAAGTAGGGTCAAACAATGGTGGGAGATTTAGCACGCTGCCCTGTAGGCCGCTGTGACCCCAGGTTGAACCGCGACCTGGGGTCACAGCGGCCCCTGGGCAGGGGCGGGCCACCTCCCGCGTGGGGGAAGGGGGGGAGGCGGCATGCCCGTGGGCGTGGGCGGGCCGCGTGGGTGGTAGCGTACCTTCACAGGTGAATTGGCCATAGTGCTTCCCAGAGCTCTTGTCGCTGCACACGACACACGTCATGTTCTGGGCGTTCTTGTCATCGCCCGTAGGACTGGGCGCCGACGAGGGCGCGCTGCCCGCAGTCGAGTTGGGCGTGGGCGTCTGTGGGGCGGCGGGCTGAGGGGTGACGCTGGCACCCAGCTCCCGGGTCACATCCTCGCCCGTAGTGGGCGGCAGAGACACGGGCGGGTCGCGCCACGTCGACCCAGGGGGCACTACCAGAGCCATCTTCTCGTGGCACTGTTCCGGTACGAACATTGACGACCACCACCGTCAGAAGGAGGTGGAGAAAACTCGAGTTACAACTCCACTCCTGGGCACTGCCACTTGGGCATCATCACTAGCACATTATCATCCACTGTGGCACTGGTGGCTGGGGCACACGGTGGTATCATCCAGGTGTAGCTGAGGTGCGGGGCGGGGCGGCTGAGGGGCGGCCTGCAAGACAGGAACACGGTGAAGGGTCGGTTCGCGCGTCACACACCCTCCTTGGAGCACTGTGCTGTGTACACTGGGCGGGCGCCGCGGCGGCCCGCCGGGCGGAGGGCGGGGAGGGGCGGCGCGGGGCAGGGGGCGGGCCACCAGGCCACGGGGCCGCGACCCCGCCCGCCCCGCACACCCACTCCTCCACACACCACACTTATTTAAAACACCCTCCCCGCTACCACTTCACTATCTCATTCCTCTACATTATCGTAGAAACTGTGTTCTGCTGTCCTGCACAACGCAAGCGTTAACTATCAAATAAACAGACTGTTGTTTATAGCGAAAAACGTGAAAATAAGTTGACGGCAAAAGTCGGCAAGGTTGATCAGTGTCCGGTGGTGGGGCGGCCTCTGGTTGGCGGGTCGCGGGGGCGCTGAACCAATGAGCGCTCGGGGCGGGGCGGGGCCAACTTCTACATACTGCAACTCTCGCAAGACAAACATCTTACCAACCTAATCCAACTTAGAAAACAAGTCTGGTCTTAACTGACACACAGGACATCGTCATTGGACTTTGTTTCCCTGAAGTCCAGTGGGTCGACGAAGATCCCAGCGACGAGTAAGAGTTGCTTTCCCTGGCGAGGTCTGGCAGGTAGCTGACACATCGAAGTCTGGACGTCTGAACTTGGCGCTGCTGCTGCTGCTGCCACTGCTGCTGCTGCTGCTGCTGTCTCACACTCAGAAAGTCAGGCTGTCAGGACTACGGGTGACACAGGGCTCACCACCGCTCCCGCCCTCACGTTAATTACATCAATGAACATCCACGAATACATATAAAATTTTATATACCGCCTCGGAGAACATAATAAACAGATATAACTCTTGTTTGTAAATATCATTTCGTCTCCATGAACGAACTTCAGTATAGTTCAAAACAGATCAGTAATTTTTTAGAGGGGAATGAAACAGAGGTACAAACAATGAGGGGAAAAGTGAAGCAAAGGCACAGGTAGATCCAGGTAGATAAACAATGAGGGGAAAGAATGAAGTAGACACACAAACACCGAGGAGAGGAATGAAGCAGAGGCACAAACAACGAGGGGAGGAATGAAGCAGAGGTACAAACAACGAGGGGAAGGAATGAAGCAGAGGTACAAACAACTCAGACAAAAACAGTACAAACATTCTCAAACAAGCTTCAAAGGAAATAATTTGAGGCAGCTATAAGATTTATTACAGCGCGGTACAACATGTAGCCTTCTGCCCCGTACCACTGCTGCACTTCCACCGTAGCCCCACCCCTACCATTATCACCATCACCACCCACTATCACCTGAACTATGGGGCTTTACTTCCTTAACTTGTAGTAAACTAACCAGTTCAGCTTGAGACTTGTAAATTGGTGGCACTCTGTACTGTTGGCACTGTACTGAAGGCACTCTGTACTGTTGGTACTGTACTGAAGGCACTCTGTACTAATAGCACTCCACATTAGAGGCACTAAGTCCTGGTGGCACTATATACTTGTGGCCCAGTGTACCAGTGGCACTGTTTTGGTGACACTTATCACTGGTGGCTCACTCTACAGGTGGCACCCTCTGCTGCTGGCGCTACTGGTGGCCAAGGTTCTTGATCCCAGGAACTGGAGCTAACTTCCTGTTCCTAACAGTGAGCCACAAATAACATGCACTTTCAGCTAGGACACATGGCACTAGAAGAGAGAAACACTATGACGATACTACTGTTACAATCTACTACTATCACGATGCCTAGAAGAACCGAAAAGTTGTTGGGGAAACAGGCGTATACTGGGACAACGTTTTGCTCTCGGAAGAGCTTCATCGGCTTGTATCTTGGTCTTCTTGGCTGTAGACAATCCTCCGTTTTGCCCTGAAGGGATGTTGCCAGGAAGGAAAGCCAGACATTGACAGAGCTGGAAACCGAACTCATAGGGACGTTAAAAATCACAGTGAGATCATCAGGGCTGAAAAATAGCATAAACAAGCCTGCTAGATAGCACATAGGGGCGTTAGGACTCACCGTGACGGCATTAGAACGGAGAAATAGCACAGACTGGATTGTTAGACAGTACATAGGGACTTTATGAATCACTGTGAGAATATCAGGGCATAGAAGACAGACTAGAGAGCTGTACAGCAGAATATGAAATATTACATATTAGCTGCCCTTCTTTAATGGATACTTTCGTGTTTTCATAATTTCGAAGCGAAAATACGAAAGAATTTATCAAAGAATGGGTAGTTAATATGGAGTCATGGAGCTGGTCCTAGAATTTTAAGCTAAAAAAAACTAAAAATGTAATTTTACACACACACACACACACACACACACACACACACAAAACCACTACCACCACAATTACCACCACCACCACTACTACCTAAGCTCACCCCCCCGCTTACCACCATTTCCGCTGCCGACAATCCTGTACACACTGACTGGTGGAGGCGAGTGTAAACAACATGAGTTTGGTCGTGGTTAACGGCTTGTATATATTTATAAACTGGTGGTCGTAGAGCTTCCATTTTCCTCCAAACTTTGGTACGCCTCACGTAGGAAGGAGTTACAAGGCACCAGCAGTAGCAGCAGACTTCGAAGACATAGTTAACCATAAGAATGTTTGAGCCATTATGCAGCAGGTATATATATATATATTATATATATATATATATATATATATATATATATATATATATTATATATACTCACACACACACACACACACACACACGATGCCTTGTACATTCTCACAAAATGCTTTAGTCTACCCAGGCTGACATATTTCCTAAGATAACCCTATAGTTCACGAATATGACAGTATCCTGAGACAGAGTTTTACGAAAGTACTTAACCTTACTCTAGAAGACGGGCAGTGGAACCAAGCTACACTTCCAGTCAGACTACGAGGCATTGGTGTCCGCAAGTCATCATAGATTGCGCTACCTGCTTTTCTGTCCTCGTGTATTGCATCCAGAGGGCTTATAGCAGGGATTCTCCCTGAACTTCTTAGGGACAAGATTGTAGTTCAGGACCAAAAGTTCATTGATGGAGCCATGATCTGGGATAATCTAACGGGCTCTGAAACCAGACCTGCTCCCCCCAACAACAGTTGCACTGGGATGGCCCAGTAGTGGAAAATATAGCCTCAACAATGCTTCAGAGTGTGTCAGGGAAGGATAGAGCCCGTCTCCTGGCAGTGAGAGCTCCTCATGCAGGGGACTTTCTGTTGGCTGTTCCCAAGTCTAGTCTTGGCACACGCCTCGACCCACAAACCATCCGCGTTGGTGTTGCCCTTCGACTTGCCGCCCCTATTCTCGCCGAACACAGGTGTATTTGTGGCAGTGAAGCAGCAGACCGATTCGAGTACCACGGTCTTGTGTGCCCTAAATCCGAGAGAAAGATTGCAAGACATGAGGAAGTTATTAACATTATCAAGAGGAGCCTCCCAACACCCGGATGCCCAGCAATAAGGGAGCCACCCGAACTATGCAGATCTGATGGCAGCCAGAAGCGTCCAGATGGTATCACCCTTCAAGTCTGGACAAACGGTAAGCAGGTGGTGTGGGACTACACATGTGCATCTACCTTGGCTGATACCTATCTCCAATACACCAGGGAGGAAGGAGCGGCAGCTGCCAGCTTCAGGGAGTCCCAAAAGTCAAGAAAATATGGAGAACTTGTCCATCATTATATGTTTGTTCCCATAGGCTCAGAGACCCTTGGTTCATGGGGAAAGAATTCATCTAAATTCCTTAAGGAGCTACGCAAAAGACTCATCAGGGTAACTAGGGATCCCAGGGCAGCTAGTTTTCTGTAGCAGCGACTCAGTGCGGCTATTCAGAGGGGGTAATGCCTGCTGTATCTTAGGCACGCGCCCCAGTTCTGAAGAGCTGGATGAGATTTTCGCATCATAATCAGTGATAAACACGTAACAATATGTACTAGACATGTATCTCTCACACCTCATGTACTGTATAAGCCATCTTTGTATCAGCAATGTATCTCTTAAATCTTGTGTACCATATTAGATAATAAAATATTCCTATTGGTAAAAAAAAAAAGTATGAAAAGATGGGGTGGTAGGGGAAGTGGAATATTCATACGGCTTCAGGAAGAAATCAAAATATTCTTCCTTGAAGCCTTTTTATCCACTTCTCCGAGGCTATGGGTCCCACAATTTACATCAGAGGTGGACCCCATCATATAATATATATATATATATATTATATATATATATATATATTATATATATAATATTATATATATATATATATATATATATATATTATAAAACACGCCGGCCGTTTCCCACCTAGGCAGGATGGCCCAAAAAGAATGAAAAATCCAAAAAGAAAGGAAAAACTTTTATCATTCAACACTCACCATCACTCATACATAATCACTGTCTTTGCAGAGGCGCTCAGATACAACAGTTTAGATGTCACTCCAAACTGCAATTATCCTAAACCCTTCCTTTAAAGTGCAGGCATTGTACTTCCCACCTCCGGGACTCAAGTCCAGCTAACCGGTTTCCCTAAATCCCTTCACAAAATATTACCCTGCTTACACTCCAACAGCTCGTCAGATCCCAAAAACCATTCGTTTCTATTCACTCCTATCTAACACGCTCACACACACTTGCTGGAAGTCCAAGCCCCTCGCCCACAAAACCTTTTACCCCCTCCCTCCTACTTTTTCCGAGACAACTACCCCGCCTTCCTTCCCCCAACAGATTTATACGCTCTCCAAGTAATTCTACTTTGCTCCATTCTCTCTAAATGGCCAAACCACTTCAATAGTCCCTCTTCAGCTCTCTAATACTTTTAGTCACTCCACACCTCCTAATTTCAACACTACGAATTCTCTGTATCCACCACTGAAGATTCTATTGCATCCACCAGTGAGGCTTTGACTGCATCCACCAGTGAGGCTTTGACTGTATCCACCAGTGAGGCTTTGACTGTATCCACCAGTGAGGCTTTGACTGTATCCACCAGTGAGGCTTTGACTGTATCCACCAGTGAGGCTTTGACTGTATCCACCAGTGAGGCTTTGA